TTTGGAATTCTCTCATTTTATATTTTATCTGTCATTGCCTGATACTTGAAGAAGGCAAAGACTTTTAGTGTAATCTTCGGCTGTCTATGATTTAACCTTGGTTTTCATTTCATATCTGTAGAAGGAAAATAACAACTGCCCTTCCCATCTGTGAAACCACTTTGTAAATAAAAAAGACAAGTTGTGGCCATTTGTATAATTAAAGTAATTGGTATCACATTTTACCACTACACTCTACCTATGGAGTCAAAGATGTTCAGGATGGGTAGGTGGCATGCTGGGGGAATGAAATACCTTAGGTCATAATAGACTTAAACATCCCTAAAGTTGTCTGGTAAATGTCAGTGGTTTAGTCCACAAATTGCAGAGTGCTTTCTATAGGTAAATGGATTGTGACTGTATATTTACTTTTAGAGTTGCATACAATGAAAATGAAATTGTTTTTCATGACAGTAAAGCTGGCTCACTATTCACTGGATTGTTCCATTTTTCTTAACTCTGTTGTGATGGTATCCAGAACCTATCTTGCCATTTGCTGCTTAGGTGCTTTATAAAATCTGTCTAAACTAAAGATGGACTTGCTCTGGATATAAAAGAGTTTATTGAACTTTGTCTTTCAGGTGCTTATCACCATCATTGCATAATGTTGAAGGCCTAGAGAGTCATACTGTGAAGATGATGCCTTTTATCAGTGTTATAAACCATTTTGTTTGTATCTTCCCCTACCCCCCAAAAAAAACCCAGATCAGCTTGGTCAGGTAGCAGTAATCAACAAGAGAAGCCACTGCCTGAATTTGACCCTGGATACACAAAATTAAAGGTTTTCCCCTCTCATACTGTCACATTCTTTATAGCAGACAACTAGAGCCCAGATTTTCTCTTTTAGCTATGTTTTATTAATTGAAAATTTGTGTTCCTCTCTCTCTTCATGCTCTAGCATGGTGTCTAAAAATTCTCCATAGACATTTCCTGGTAACAGAAAACAATGGCAATTGTGTAGTAATCAGTTTCCCAAACTAAAAACAAGAAACAACTTTCCAATTAGGAAAACACCACACAAAGCCACACCCTTAGCATTACTTATAGGCAGAGAATACAAAAACACAAATAGCTGTGGATAAATAGGGAAAAAACATGAGTAAGTTCCAGTGTTCAGTTCCTCACACTTCTTCCCCACTTCCATTCATGCCAGGCTTCATGGAGGGCAAAGCAGACCAAGATAAACTGCGAAAACAGAAGAGATAGGCTAGTGACAATGCCTAAGAGTGATTTGGAATGGCCACCAGAAAGATTAAATTTAGCCTAAATTCTAAAATGCTGGGAAAATGACCAAGCAGATCTCAGCATGGAATATAGGGAAGAGATTTTAAGGTCACATGATTTAAAGAGCCAAAGGCCATATAGGACCAGATACACCAGTTAAAGATACACCATTTTATAGGACCAGATACTATTCAAATGAACAATCATCATTTAAAAGGAGAGGTATCATTTAATGCGTCAGTCTTCCAAAGCATTATTTCCAGTGAAACTACTCTGTATGACACTATAGCAGTGGATATGTGTCATCATATGTATTAGTCTGTTCTCATGCTGCTGATAAAGACATACCCAAGACTGGGTAATTTATAAAGAAAAGAGGTTTAACTGACTCACAGTTCAGCATGATTTAGGAGACTTCAGGAAACTTACAATCATGGTAGAAGGGGAAGTGAACACATGCTTCTTCACATGGTGGCAGCAAGGAGAAGAATGAGAGTGAAGGTAGGGGAAGCCCCTTATAAAACCATCGTATCTCATGAGAACCCACTCACTATCAGGAGAACAGCATGAGGGTTACTGCCCTCATGATTCAATTACCTCACGCTGGGTCCCTCCCATGGCACGTGGAGATTATGGGAACTACAATTCAAGGTGAGATTTCAGTGAGGATGCAGCCAGACTGTGTCATTTCACCCTAGCCCCTCCCAGATCTCATGTCCTCATATTTCAACACCCAATCCAAGTCCAAAGACTCATCTGTAATAAGGCAAGTCTTCTCTGCATATGAGCCTGTAAAATCAAAAGCAAGTTAGTTACTTCCTAGATATAATGAGTGTACAGGCACTGGGTAAATACACCCATTCCAAATGGGAGAAGTTGACCAAAACAAAGGGGCTTCAGGCTACAAGCAAGTCTGAAATCCAATAAGGCACTTATTAAATCGTAAAGTTCCAAAATGATCTCCTTTGACTCCATGTCTCACATCCAGGTCATGCTGATGCAAGAGGCGGGCTCCCATGGCTTTGGACAGCTCTGTCCCTGTGGCTTTGCAGGGTACAGCCCCCCTCGTGGCTGCTTTCATGGGCCCTGGTGTTGAGTGTCTGTGGCTTTTCGAGGTGCATGGTGCAAGCTGTGCACAGTATAAGCTGTTGGTGGATCTACCATTCTGGGTCTGGTTGATGGTGGCCCTTTTCTCACAGCTCCACTAGGCAGTGCCCTAGTGGGGACTCTGTGTGGGGGCTCCAACCCCACATTTCCCTTCCACACTACCCTAGCAGAAGTTTTCCATGAGGGCTCCACCCCTACAGCAAACTTCTGCCTGGATTTCCAGGCACTTCCATATATCCTCTGAATCAAGGCAGAGTTTTTCAAACTTCATTTCTTGACTTCTGTGTACCCACAGGCCTAACACCACGTGTTAGCCACCAAGACTTGGAGCTTGCACCCTCTGAAGCCACAACCTGAGCTGTACCTTGGCCCATTTTAGTCATGACTGGAGCAGCTAGGATTCAGGGCACCAAGTTCCTAGGTTGCACATGGCAGAGAAGCCCTGGGCCTGGCCCACAAAACCATTTTTTCCTCCTCGGCCTCCAGGCCTGTAATGGGAGGGGCTGCCATGAAAGTCTCTGACATGCCCTAGAGACATTTTCCCCATTGTCTTGGTGATTAGTATTCAGCTCCTTGTTACTCATGCAAATTTCTGCAGTGGGCTTGAAGTTCTTCCCAGAAAATGAGTTTTTCTTTTATACTGCACTGTTAGGCTGGAAAATTTTTAAACTTTTATGCTCTGCTTCCTGTTAAACACTTTGCCACTTAGAAATTTCTTCCGCTAGATACCCTAATCATATCTCTCAAGTTCAATGTTCCACAGATCTCTAAGGCAAAGGCAAAATGCTGCCAGTCTGTCTGCATAGCAAGAGTGAATTTTCTACTCAAGTTCCCAACAAGTTCCTCATCTTCATCTGAGACTACGTCAGCCTGGACTTCATTGTCCATATCACTATCAGCATTTCAACAAAGCCATTCAACAAGTCTCTAGTTTCCCGTATCTTCCTGTCTTCTGAGCCCTCCAAGTCTAGGAAGTTCCAAACTTCCCACATTTTCCTATCTTCTTTTGAGCCTGCCAAACTGTTCCAAACTGCCTGTTACCCAGTTCCAAAGTCGCTTCCACGTTTTTGGGTATATTTACAGCAGTGCCCCACTACCCAGTATGAATTTGCTGTATTAATTCATTCTCACACTGCAAATAAAAACATGTCTAAGACTGGATATTTATAAAAGAAAGAGGTTTAATGGACTCACAATTCAGCATGGCTGGGGAGGCCTCAGGAAATTTACAATAGTGGCAGAAGGGGAAATGGAACATGTGCTTCTTCACATGGTGGCAGCAAGGAGAAGAATTAAAGGGTGAGAGAAGCCCCTTATAAAACCATCATATTTCATAAAACTCACTATCACAAGAACAGCATGAGGGTCACCACCCCCATGATTCAGTTACTTCCCACTGGGTCCCTCCTATGACATAATGGGGATTATGGGAACTAAAGAGGAGATTTTGGTGGGGATGCAGCCAAACCATATCATCATGTATTTGTCCAAACCCATAGAATGTACACCACTAAGAGTGAACAGTAATGTAAACCGTGGACTTTGGGTGATAAGGATGTGTCAATGTAGGTTCACCAGTTGTAACAAATGTACTGCTCTGTGGTGGATGTTGATGATGAGGGAGGCTATGCATGTGTGGATACAGAGGGAATATGGGAATTCTATGCACCTTCCTTTCAATTTTGCTGTGTACTTTAGAAAAAACAGTCTATTTCATAAAAATAGCATAATTTCTGGAGAAGGAAAAGAGTAAAAAGAAAAGAAGGGTTTTTTAGCAATTGGACGAAGAAGGAGAAAAGAAGAAAGGGGGAAAGCTTAGAATTATGTAAGAGAATCACAGAATCAGAGGACTCACTCTCCACTCCCCTAACCAGAACAAACACACCAACAAAAAAACCCACTAAAGTAACTTGACTTTGCTAGACTGACAGAAAAGGGCATCTTTTGAAAGAGGAAGTTCTAAAAACTTTAATCTCAGGAAAGTGAACAAAATGAAATTAAAATCAGTAAAGAAATTTTGTAAAAAATAGGAAATCTTCAGACTTTTAGTAAGAGAAAGCCCTTAATTAGTCCCTTAATTATCAAAAAAGCTTAGCAAAAATTACAGTTTTTCAAAACACAATTAAGTGACCCTTTCCCCACAAAAGTCTTAGTTCCATGGTAAGATGGAGAATTTGATTAGGTCAGTGTTGATCTCCATCAGATGTGATTAGGACCCAGAGTTATGTAAGACAAACATGACTGTTGAAGAGCCACTCCTATGAATAAGAAAGTCCTTAAGAAAGGTTTAATTGTTCTGTGGACTGAATGGATATCTTACGTTTACCTGAAGAAAGATTTGTTATTTTGATGATGATGTTTCTACATCCTTGGATTTAGATCATACAATCAAGCAAGAATCATAGTAGCCATAGTTTTATTTTGGTCGCTATATGGTTCTTTTGGAATTATGTTTGAAATAGTTATGTTTGAAATTATAATGCAGAATAATTGATTAAACTACTAGGTGTTTGTAGTCACTTCTGTATAAAGTTGGGACTAGCTTTTGTTATGCATATCTTTGTTAGAATAGTATTTCTATAAGACATCAAATTTATATTACTTCACCTCACTACAGCTTTTTTCCCTAGAAGAACATAACTTACCATATGGACAGAGACTGCTGCTGTTTGGATTCCCATGGATACCTTTATCCAGCATTTTGTCAGAGGGGAAATTGCCTTATACATAATCTGAAATAATTGAAATAATTGAAAGTATAATGAGAGCCAATATTTAGAAGCTCCCTTGTGCTTCTTTCTACTCTGCAAATAAAATGATCACTGAATGCATTCATGTTTTAAAATTTAAGCAGACTTGGTAAATGAATCTTGTTTTCTAAATGTGCAGAGGGGCTAATATAAGGTGGTTGGTGTCCCTAGAACAGGTGTTAAAAGATCTTTTTAAGCTTCTCGATACATTTGCAAATTTACCATCATGAAGTGGCAATTTGCAGTGTAGAGCTGATTACAGAAATCAGGATATAGTTGAAATGCATTTTTTAAAAATTCATCATATTATTGCCTATTCCTCTGCTTTTTTAGGATACATACAACAACATTAATAATGTTCTCAGAAGTCCCTGAGAGATTTGTTGCCTTGTTTTATTTTTAGTGATTGACAGGAATTGGCTTTAAAATGAAAGTCATTCATATGTGATTCCCAGGATCCATTTTAGCATCTGACCAAATTTTGCATTCTTATTCATCATTTTAAAAAGCAAGACTTTATTTTTATAGCAGTTTTAGGTTCACACAAAAATTAGGAGGAAGGTTCAGAGAGTCTCATATACCCCTTACCTCTACATATGGATAACCTCCTTCATTACAACATCCCCCACTAGATGGGTACATTTGTTACAGTTGATGAACCTACATTGATACATTCTTACCACCTAAAGTCCATAGTTTACATTAGGGTTCACTCTTGGCATTGTACATTTTAAGACTTTGAAAAAATATATAATGACATGTATGTACCAATATAGTATTATACAGAGTAATTTCACTGTCCCTAAGAATACTCTGTGCTCTACCTGTTCATCCTTTCCTCCCCCCACAACTACTGGCACCCACTGATCTTAATACTGTCCCTATAGTTTTGCTTTTTTCCAGAATGGCATTTGTCTTTGTTCACAGATGCCATGATTATCTTATTTAAAAAATCCTGAAGAATTAAAAAAAAAAGAAACCTCTCAAAACTAATAAGTGATTATAATAAGATTGTAGGATACAAAGTTAATATACAAAAGCCAATTATTGCCTTCCTACATACCAGCAATGGATAAGTGAAATTTGAAATTAAAAACAGTACCTTTTACATTAGCCCCCCAAAATTGAAATATGTAGATATAAATCTAGCAAAATATGTATAAGATCTCTTTGAAGAATACTGTAAAACTCTGATGAAAGAAATCAAAGAACTAAAAAAATGGAGAGATATTCCATGTTCATGGAAAGGAAGACTACATGTGGTCAGGATGTCATTTCTTTCTAACTCTAGATTCTCAATCCATAGATTCCATGCAATCCCAATGAAAATCTGAGCAAGTAATTTTGTATACGTTGACAAACTGATGCTAAAGTTTATATGGAGAGGCAAAATACCCCAACTAGCCAACATAATATTGAAGGAGGAACAAAACTAGAGGACTGACACTACCCTACTTTAAGACTTAATATAAAGCTACAGTAATCACCACCAGTGTGGTATTAGTGGAACACACACACACACACACACACACACACACACACACAAATAGATCAATGGAACAGAACAGAAAGCCCAGAAATGGACCCGCATAAATATGGTCAACTGATCTTTGACAGAGAAGCAAAAGCATTTCAACAGAGAAAAGTTAGTCTTTTTAATAAATGATGTTGGAACAACTGGACATCCACATACAAAAACAATGAATCTAGATACAGATTTTACACCCTTTACAAAAATCAACTCAGAATGGATCACAGACCTCAAAGTAAAATACCAAACAAGTAAACCCTTAGAAGATAAGGTAGGAGAAACTCCAGATGGCATAGCATCTGATGATGACTTTTTAAATACAGTGCAAAGGCATACCCCATGAAAGAAAGAATTGATAAGCTGGACTTCATTAAAATAAAAATTTCTGCTTTGTAAAAGACACTAGAGAATAGAAAGAAAAAGCCACAGGCTGAGAGAAAAGAAAACAACCTGATTTTAAAATGGGCAAAGACCTTCAGAAACATGTCACTAAAGAAGATACACAGATGGCAAATAAATATATGAAAAGATACTCCACATCACATGTCATCAGGAAGATGCAAATTAAAACAACAGTGATAAACTACCACACACCTATTAGAATGGCCGTAATCCAGACCACTGACAACATCAAATGCTGGTGGAGCAACAGAGATGTTCTTTGATTGCTGGTAAGAATGCAAAATGGTACAGCCACTTTTCAAGACAGGTTGGCAGTTTCTTAGACAACTTAACATACTCTTACTGTGTCATCAATACCAAAGGTGCTCAAACTTATTTCCACACAAAAACCGCACAGGGATGTTTATAGCAGCTTTATTCATTATTGCCAAAACTTGCAAGCAACCAACAGTCTTTCCATAGGTGAATGAATAAACTATGACACATCCAGACAATGGAATATTATTCAGTACTAAAAAGAAATGAGCCGTCAAACTAGGAAAAGGCACAGAGGAAACTTAAATGCATATTACTAGGTGAAAAAAGCCAGTCTAAAGAGGCTACATACTGTATAGTACCAACTATATGACATTCTTTTTCACTTTTTATTTGGATTCCACTCCATTTTACCTTCAAGTTTAGAAGTCACAGTCAGCTAAATTCAAAGGGGCTTGAGTAAAGCAAGCTGGGATTTCCTTCTTTAGGAAATATTTTTGAAAGATGATCACTAGACCATTGTTTTTATATCCTCTATTGAGGAAGGGAGGTGGGGAGATTTTTTAATAAGATTTTAGGCTATAGAGCTAGAAATGTGGTGATTTGAATACTGGTTCTATCATGTACTTAACCAGCTGTGTGACCTTGGGAAGCTTTTTTTTCCACCTAAATGAGCATTTAGTCTTTACTTAGTAGGAACAAAGTATAGAACCAAGGAATGGAATATTACTTATTTAATATTTTGGTAATTTTGTGGGGTATTTATTGTTACTCCTCATATTTTAGAGGCTGACTTTGTCATCGTTCCCCCTATCGGTCAGGGGTTCTTAAAAGCAACAAAATCCTCTCTGGCTAGTTTGAGCAGAAGCAGGATTTAGTGAAGGATATTGGGCAGTTACACATGCAGCCAAGAACAGGGCCCAACATGCCATCCAGATTGCTTTTAGGCAAATATCACTACATTATTTACACCGGTAACTCTACCCAGATGTCCTCAGAAAGAAAGATACTTCCCTTCCATGGTCACCACAGGATAGGATGGATTCCCCATGTTTCCTCCTCAGGTTACTTACTTCTGAAGCTAATCCTGAGCCGGATGTCTAATCAATAGAGCCTGATCATGTGCTGCTGTCCTGGCTTCACAGGAAAGCTGAAGAAACAAGTTTTCTGGCTTTTGACTTAAAGAAGTAGGGTCTGTAAGGAAGGAAATTCCTGACATTTTGAAAAAGTGCTGGGCAGGCAGAAAATATGGCAGTACTCCAAGGACATTTTTGCTTCAGTAGATGGATTCATAAAGATAGAAATGTGTTCAAATTAAAAGGAAGGTGACTTTGGTTTATATTCCTTCTTTGAATGATTATTTTATTTTTAAAGTAGACTTTGCTTACAGGTATATCTGTATCACTTGCCTTTATCATTCACTTTTTTGTCCCTATATACAGGGACAAAGAGCTATTTGAGGCTAGCATTGCAATGGGGGACCATGACTGGAGACTGCCTCTCTTTGAACATTATGCAAGACAGGTTGCAGATTGTCAGCTTGCTATGTTAATACCATTGGAAAATATCAATCTGTAGGGGCATATGCAACTGCAACATAGCTGAATGAATTTGTGACTCAGAAGTGGGCTCATTTAGGCACAGCGGGTATGATGACCAATAAAGATGAGGTTCCATATCTTAGGAAAGCATGACCAGAAAGCCAACAAGGATTCTAATAAAATTTTTAGTTAGGTTCAGTCAAAAGAAGGATAATGTTTAATATAAATACTATGCATTTGCTATATTCTGCCTTAAATTGGACAGTTGAACTTCAAAATATTTTTGAATAAATGGATGAAAAATATTTAAAGGAAACGATATTATTTAAAAATGCAGAACAAAATGAGGTGTATGCCTTTATTTTTCAATTTATGCAAAGATTCAGCGATTTTAAAGATAAAGCTAATACCCTGCTTGGCAAATATTTTTAAATGATATTCTATGAATGGTAATTAATTTACAAATTACTTAATCACTTTCCAGTGTGTATAATTGAATTGAGAGACAAAATAGTGTTTTGAATTTGTGATACTAGAATCTGTGAACAAAGTTACTATGCAGTTGTCATAATAAATGCTACTTTTTATACAAAAAATAAGTTGTTCTGTAGTAAAGATTCTTGTCCTTAAGCTTTGGCTAAATATCTGATCATTTCCTAAATCAAAATTCTGAATATTTTTGAGGCTTTTGACATTTTACCAAATTATTCTCTAAAACATTCATATCAACTTATATTTCATCCAAGTAATTTTTTTTTTTCAGTTAGTAATTGTAAGCTCTGCAAGAAAATGGCTATATCTGGGTTTTGTTTTGTTTTTCTTTTTATTTTTATGTACCTTTTCAAGTAAATATTTTTGAATAAGTTAGAAAAATGTGTTTAATAGCTGCCATTTGTGGACTTCCAAGTACTTTTCTCATTTCTCCTACCTTTTTTAATTTATATGCTGCTTGTGCATATGCATACTTCTGCTTAAGAAAAAAAAAAAAGCCTCTTTTCACTGCTTCACCATTTTGAAGGACCAGGTACACAGTGAGGGTGTGAATGTTCTACAAAGAATATTACAAGCTGAAATTTATTTTTTTACTTTTGACTCTAGGCTTTTAAAACACACACTTTTTTTGCTGCATTTAATCTGTTGATACGGTGAATTACCTGTAATAATTTTCAAATGTTAAATTAACATTCTTGAGTTAAACTTAACTTGGTCATGATAGGAAGGTCATGATATAAATTCATATTTTGTTTCTTGTGTGTGTTTGTGTTCAGAGTCTAGGTAAGTGACAGAATTTCCTCTTTTATTTATTTATTTTTATTATACTTTAAGTTCTGGGTTACATGTGCAGAACGTGCATTTTGTTACGTAGGTATACACATGCCATGGTGGTTTGTTGCACCAATCAACCCGTCACCTACATTAGGTATTTCTGATGTGATCCCTCCCCTAGCCCCCCACCCCTCACAGGGTCCCAGGCCCTGGTGTGTGATGTTCCCCTCCCTGTGTCCATGTGTTCTCATTGTTCAACTCCCACTTATGAGTGGAACATGCGGTGTTTGGTTTTCTGATCTTGTGATAGTTTGCTGAGAATGATGGTTTCCAGCTTCATCCATGTGCCTGCAAAGGACATGAACTCATCCTTTTTTATGGATGCATAGTATTCCATGGTGGTATATGTGCCACATTTTCTTAATCCAGTCTATCACTGATGGACATTTGGGTTGGTTCCAAGTCTTTGCTATTGTGAATAGTGCTGCAGTAAACATACGTGTACATATATCTTTATAGTAGCATGATTTATAATCCTTTGGGTATATACACAGTAATGGGATGGCTGGGTCAAATGGTATTTCTAGTTCTAGATCCTTGAGGAATTGCCACGTTGTCTTCCACAATGGTTGAACTAATTTACACTCCCACCAACACTGTAAAAGCATTCCTTTTTCTCTACAACCTCTCCAGCATCTGTTGTTTCCTGGCTTTTTAATGATCACCATTCTAACTGGCATGAGATGGTATCTCATTGTGGTTTTGATTTACATTTCTCTAATGAGCAGTGATGAAGAACATTTTTTCGTATGTCTGTTGGCTGCATAAATGTCTTCTTTTGAGAAGTGTCTGTTCATATCCTTTGCCCATTTTTTGATGGGGTTGTTTCTTGTAAATTTGTTTACGTTCTTTGCAGATTCTGGATATTAGCCCTCTGTCAGAAGGATAGATTGCAGAAATTTTCTCCCATTCTGTAGGTTGCCTGTTCACTCTGATGATAGTTTCTTTTACTGTGCAGAATCTCTTTAGTTTAATTAGATCCCATTTGTCAATTTTGGCTTTTGTTGACATTGCTTTTGGTGTTTTAGACATGAAGTCTTTGCCCATGCCTATGTCCTGAATGGTATTGCTCAGGTTTTCTTCTAGGATTTTTATGGTCCTAGGTCTTACATTTAAGTCTTTTATCCATCTTGAGTTGATTTTTGTATAAGGTGTAAGGAAGGGGTCCAGTTTCAGTTTTCTGCATATGGCTAGCTAGTTTTCCCAACACCATTTATTAAATAGGGAATCTTTTCCCCATTGCTTGTGTGTGTCAGGTTTCAGACTTTCGTCTTTTATACTGTCTGTGGGTTTTTAATATCAAGGTTTTGATAGCCCCATAAAATGACTCGGAGAGAGTTTCTCCTTTTTCTGTTTTTGGCAGACTTTATATAAGATTGAAATTACCAGTTTGGTAAAATTCATTTGTAAAACTATCTGGGCATGGTGTTTTCTAATTTGGAAGAATTTTTAAACTACCGATTCAACCTTTTTAAATGTTTAAGATGATT